CAGTATATATATATATATATATATATATATATGTGTCTTCTATATACTTCTATATTTTTTGTTTTATTACATATATTTCTGTATTTTTTTAGAAACTATACAAAGTTGTTTTTCTTTAAAGTTATAAAATCTACATTTTAAGTATCGACCTTGCCTCAGAATTTTCTTAGAAGCAATAAAACAAATGAATTGTAGACATACAGTGAGAGTATAGAGTCAAAATCAAATTGGATAGTGATCTGAAAAAACTGAATGAGAAATGTTTAATTTTATATTAAGATCTGAAATTGCTGAGATCTCTTCTGAAACTCGAGAGAAGATATGCGAGACTAGACCCTTTTTCTCAGGGGAAACATCTTGCAAATGGGAAACTCAAGCAAAAGTCTCATATTGGTGTCTAGGATAAACATACGAGACATTAAAGAGATCTCATTTGTGATTTTTCTTTCTTATGGGAATATTTTTATGCATGTGTAACATACTTCCTGTGAGTGTCTGTGTGTGGATCCAGTCGGAGGGTTCTCCGGCTCCAGCCCTGGTGAACGCCACCAGTCTGATGCGGTACTCTCTATATTTCAGCAGAGGGGAAAGTGTGACTCCACTGGTTTCTCCTTCAACCCACTCCACAAGCTCACTCTCCACACAGGACTCCATGTGCTGCTCTGGCTCACAATTTCTTGCCAATTGCTGAATCTCTACATTATAACCCTGCAACAGACCAGGAACATGGACGGGATGCTGCCATCTTAGAGACACACTGTCAGAGGTAACATCCATTATGGTCAGTGACTGGGGCGGACCAGGAACTGCAGAAAGAAAAAGAAACAATCATGTCTGTACCACAAATGGTGCAGAATAAATTACATGCCGAAGTTTAATACTTAGATACTTAGGGTTAGGGTTATTGACACAGATTTGGAGAAATTTAGCATTACTGTACATCAATTGCTCACCACTGGATCCTCTGCAGTGAATGGGTGCCATCAGATTGAGAGCCCAAACAGCTGATTAAAACATCACAATAATCCACATCACTCCAGTCCATCAATTAATGTCATGTGACGTGTTCAAAATAAACATATTAGGACATTTTTAACTTTATAACCACATTTTTCAGTTAAAATGTGAGTCCATAATATTGCCTTTTAAAATGAAAAATTGATCTTGTCTGAATCAAGAGAGAAATATGCTCATATCAAGCACCGTTTACCAGTGAAAACAGTCCAAAACAGTTCTAAACAAATATGATGGTGGATTTTGATGTGAGAGGACAACAGGGCATGGACTTTTTCACTGGAGGAAGCATTATTATGGATTATGGACTCTATGGGTATTTAAGTGAAATATCAAACAAATTCAAATTTCAAAGCCAAGGCTTAAAGATTTAAAACCTAAAGTTGAACAAAAGTTTAAACTTTTTAAAGATTTTTTTTTTTACATTTTCTTTAACACAGTTGTCGCATTGACAATAATAAGAAATGTGTCTTCTTGAGCAGCAAATGAGCATATTAGAATAACTTCTGAAGGATCATGTGACACGAATGAATGTGTGTGTGTGTATTACCTGATTCATTGGTGGTGAATATGACAGGTAGGCTGTACTGATCCCCATTTCCTGCTCTAGTGAATGCGCACACGCTGATTTCATATGAATTATGAGGTCTAAAGCCACTCAGTTCTGCTTGTGTGGATGCATCTGATGAGTTCTTGGGTAAACAGAGGCATATGAAGTTTAATTTATACACAGAGAAAAATGTGAGAACATAATCAAACATACTACATAGACATAGGGGTGTATCACCTGATATCTGAAAGTGTATGTGTTTAGTTCGAGTATTCGGAATCCGTAGTGCTGGACGATTCCATTTGGCTCTGGACTTGGTTCCCACTGAAGCCACACTGAATTCACAGTGTGGTTAAAAATAATCAGATCGTGTGGTGGAGACATTGGGACTGGACACACAAAAAAGCACATAAGACATTAGACACATTAAGTCTGCACATTTATAATTGAATGAATTTGCAAAGTAGGGTATTCAGATTTGAAATTAGGACTTCAGATTTCAAATTACAATTTTCAAATGTCAAACTTTATTTATTACATTTTCAAGGCAAGACTTAAGTAAGTAATTACCATTTTAGGATTATTGCCCTTATATAGAGATCATGTATTTAAGCAAGAGTTTAAAGTTAAAACATCTTAATTATGGATTTATTTCTCACAAACAAGAAGCTTTTTACTTCATAAGACATTCATTGATGGACTGGAGTAGTGTGGATTACTTGCAGATTTTTCTGATGTTTTTATCAGCTGTTTGGACTCTCATTCTGACGGCACCCATTCACTGCAGAGGATCCACCGGTGAGCAAGTGATGCAATGCAACATTTCTCCAAATTTGTTCCATTGAAGAAACAAACTCATCTACATCTTGGATGGCATGAGGGTGAGTAAATTTTCAGCAAATTTTCATTTTTGGGTGAACTATCTCTTTAAGACATCATACCTGACTCTGGTGGAGTATGTGCAGTACAGTTGGCTTCCTCCCCTATTCCAGCTGAATTAACTGCAGCTACGCTGATGACATAGAAAATGTTAGGTGACAGGCCGATGAAAGTGTGTGCCACTGTGTGTGCGAGCACGAGAGGATGAGCCTCCTCATCTAGATCTCCAGAGCGAATGAGGTAGTACAGAATCTCTCCGTTAGGATGAATCGGAAGCTCCCATTCCATGTACACTGAATTCCAATCCAATCCAGAGCAGGTCAGATTCCCAATGGCATCTGACACTGAAACATACACACCAACACCACAGATATATCTTCATTTCTCCTTCATTTGATCGCTAAGACTAGCAAATGGCTGCAATATAACAAAGAGTGAAAAATTTAAGGGGGTCTGAATACTTTCCGTACCCACTGTATATATATATATATATACACACACTGTATATCACACACACATTTATTTCTTAATTTAAGAATGCATTTATTTCTTTTTTCTTCATTTGTTCTCTAAGGCTTTGGCAACTGTATATAATTTGTGTTGTTTATGTTACACATAACAAAATTGATGAGTGCATTTTAAAATGTACTAAAAAGTTTATAACAAAAATGTTTTACTTTAAATTTTAATTTTTACATTTCAAATGTCAGACAAATTTCAAATTCATATTTTAAAGCCATGCCTTAAAGATCTAATGTTTAACAAAAGTTTAGATTTTTGAAGATCAAACATCAGACCTCAAATTCTATTTCCGCTTTAAAAATGTAAATATCAAACAAATTCCAAATTCAAATTTTATAAAGAAAAAAGATGTAAAGTTTAACAAAAGTTTACATTTTCAAAGATCAAACAAAAGACTTTTCAAATTTTTGTTTTAAATATTCAAATATCAAACAAACTCCACATTCAAATTCTAATGAAATATTTAAATTTTGAACAGATCAGTTCCTCTAGAAAAACAATAAAGATGCATCTCTGACCTGCTTCATCAGTATGCAGTGGAATAATCACGGAGGGACCGACACCTATGCGGGTGACCGCAGCGATGGAGAGATTGTAAGGTGTAAATGAAATGAGTTCCGAGAGCATTAGGTGTGTTTCAGTGGTGTAGGTTTTGTTGACGGTCCCAGGACCCTGTAAAACTACAGCATAATCTATGATCTCGCCATTGGCCTCCACTGCGGGGAACCATGACACATGGATGGAGGTGCTGGAGAGATTCCTACTAGCTCCAGGCAATGGAGGAGAACTTGGGACTGTCAAAACACAGACAAACACAGACACACAATAGTTTTCAATCAGTAAGTATGCTTTATATACATGTGCATGTAAAAAACAGGAAGTGATGCATACCATCTTCATCTGTTCGCAGGTGTAGCATTGCAGTGTGGTTTAAAGCCGATCCAGCACTGGTTGCCGGGGTGACTTTTATGATGTAGGGAAAATACTTCCTGAGCTTGGTGAAGAGGTAGATGTTGTCTGTGGTAGTTTTGGTGATGGTGATGTTGACCGTGCGGTTGATGGACGCGTGGGTCATACCCACCTCTTGGAGGCTCAGCTGATAGAAGACTCTGCCGTTGGGCTCCAGAGGAGGGTCCCAGCTGATCACTACAGCCGTAGAGCTATAGATCGTAGCAGTGAGGTTGTGGACGGGACCACTCGGCACTGCACGGGGGGAGGATGTAGAAGAGATACAATTAATAATGGGTGAAGAACGGCTAACAGTTACACTTTAGAACAGAGAACAAATCATTGCAGTCTAAGTAATAGATGTTGGTTCAATGTGCAACCAAGAAATGCAATGAGACTTTGTTCCCCAATCTAAAGTAACACAATTAGGGTTTATCTCATGAAAACTTGCAATATCAGGACATATTTCACCTCAAAAAAATGAAGCCTATTAAAGGACAATTAAAAGGTTTTCATAAAGGTCAAAAATCATAAAAAAGATAATAAAAATCATAAAGGTAAATAAGTAAACAAACATTTAAAAAATAATTATCATGATAAAAACGTAGGATTTTATTTTAATATATAATATATATTTTTAAATCTTAGCGTGAAATATGAGCCAGAAATTGAGATTCACCCATTAGATGTACAAAGAACTATCCTTTTAATTAATATATTTAATTAATTAATTAATTTATGCTTAAATAAAGCATAAATGGCACACTGCAACACCAAACCAGTCAACGATTCAAATGATTAAAAGCAGTGAAGATAAATGATCCATCTTAAACCAAGAGATTAAAATATGAATTAAAAATACAAAAGCACACATACAACACACACATGGACATGATATTCAGCAATTACACACATCTGTGAATCTGTGGAAATGAAAAAGGGTAAATAAACTCCGGCACAGCGTCTGCAAAATCCAGAGTCAAGATCACAGATATAGAAAAGCAGAGAGAAGCAGAGAAAGACAGGCTGATTGTGTTAGTAAGAAAATCCGTCTGGAGCATGTTCTGTGTCCGAGATATTGCTTTGGGCTGAACTGAGCTGCTGAAGCTGGGTGATTCTCCAGTAACTACAAACCGATCAGACACAATCACTCACAAAGAGCCAAACAGGACCATGGCATTATTTATTCATATAGAACACTTTCAAAATCTCAGACGCCAGGGGAGAAAAACCTTCATCTGTCTCAGAAGGTCACCTCTGCACCGTTTTTCCCAAAATCACACAAAAATGGTTTGTTTTGACTCTTACATAAAACCTTGACACACGGTATAGATCCTGAAACCAGGTTAACATATTCACATAAACATAAAGTATGAAATAATTAATTTTAGTGTTCAAAGATTGCTCTTTCAAGCATAAAATAAGATATTTTAAAGAATGTGGGCATCAAATGTACTTCTCAACTGTTTCTTTTAAGAATCAGCTCAGATGTTACTCCTAAATGAAAAAGGAGAGCAAATGAGCTGTTGACATTTAATAAAAGCCTAGAGCTATAAAAATAAAGTAGACAGCTGCTCAGATCATTTGCTTTCATGAGTAATGTTTGAGATCTCTGACCTGCAGATTTGGCCAAATCTGAGTACAATTTGAGATCTCTTTTGAGATACATGACATTACTGGGCTCTTTTTCTCAGCACAAAGATGTGAGAAGCAGGAGACAAAAAAAGTATCCAATTGCTCTCAAGCAGGAAGTGTTACAATATTTCTTAAGTCAAATTGACACATTTACAATATTCTTGAAGACAAATATATAACGTTACATAATATACCCAGAAACTTACAGCAACGTGCTATTTTCTACTTTCAACAAATCCTGTGAGAGGAAATGCAAGCTGGGATAGTCTAGAGACCGACAAATAAAAGGCTTTGAGATCAGATGCACTCGGTCTCGTGGTGAGGGCTCAACAATCCCAGTTTGCAGCTTGAAGGAAGTTGTCTCCTTTCACAAAATGTGCTGAATCTGTGTGGTGTGTGTGTTTATGAGTTTCAGTGTGATTTTTTTGGGAGCATAATCTGTTGGAAAAGTGGTGCAGAGCTGCGCTTCTCCCCTGAGTGTGTGAGGAGACTGACCGTCTTCTAAAGCGGTGAAGTTTAGATGGGGACTGAACACTCCCCCATCACCAACAGAAGTGCTGGAACTCATCCATACACTGTACTCATGTCCTGCCCTCAGATCAGACAACACCAACCAGTGCTCTGAACCAGGAACCGTCTACAGAGAGAGAAAGAGAACATGGTCATTCACTGCACGACTGAATCAGCATTTCATTCTGAGTTTGGTCTAGCTATTCTTAGAGATTAAATCCTTTACAAAAAGTACTGTGGTGGTTCATCATTTACTTACCCTCCTCTTGTTCCAAACCTGTATGAGTTTCTTTCTTCTGTCGAATTACAACATAAGATATTTTGAAGAATATGGGTAACCAAACAGCTGACTGTAGCCACCGATTCAGTCTTTAGTATTTTTGTTCCCATACTATGGAAGTCAATGGCTACCGTCAACTGTTTGGTTGCCCACATTCTTTAAAATATCTTATTTTATGCTTAACAGAAGAAAGAATCTCAAACAGGTTTGGAACAACTCAGGGTGAGTAAATGATGACAGAATTTAAATTTTAGGGTGAACTATTCCTTAAAATGTTACATGTCCAAAACATGGTACAATTTGCTTTTTTCTACTTATTTCTTTCTGATTTCTGCACAACTAATCGGGATTGTAAAACCTGCCAAAGGTATTTTATCTAATGAGGATATCAACACAAGAAAAACAAATCATATCTACAGTAAATTGCTGCTAATTAGGTGTGACAAGTTTCCAGTGACAGCCGATTTAGTTAGTAAACAGCTAATTAGAAAACTTATTAAAAACATATTCTTTTTTAAAAAGTCCAGTTTTGCATTAAGATTATCAAACATGACAGCAAAGACTTCATTTGAACTTTCAATTCATCAAGGAATACTGAAAAAATGTATCACAGTTTCCACACAAATATTAAGCAGCACAACCGTTTTCAACATTGATAATAAGAAATCAGCATATTAGATTGATAATAATCAGAAAAATAAGCATATTATTTCTGAAGGATCATGTGACACTGAAAACTGGAGTAATGATGTTGAAAATTCAGCTTTGCATCACAGGAATAAATTATATTTTAAAATATATTTAAATAGAAAATAGAATGCCATCATGTTTAGTGTTGTATAAAATTCAAGGCATTGATGTTTGCCTACAAAACCACCACTGGCTCTGCACCCCTTCACCTAAATTCATTACTTCAGTTATGTGCCCTCTAGAAGCTTGCGTTCTGCAAGTGAACGTCGCTTTATTGTGCCATCCCAAAGAAGCACAAAATATCTTTATTTGACCCTCTAACTCTAGCACTCTCTATTCTAATTCTATTCTTATAAAAAAAAAGAAAAGCACTTGTCCCTTTTAGACTTGCACTCTATTCATTTGCTGCTTGTTTTCTTTATAAAAAAAACAACAAACTAACACTTGTTTTCTAATCTTTTTGTATTCTATTTGTTTTCTTTTCATTTATTATACAATTAACAAAAGCAAAAAAGACCTCTAACACTAGCTTGCTCTATTCTTTTTCTATTCTATCTGTTTTCTTTTTATTTATATTATTTAAAAACCCTTGCTACGTGTACTGCGTTCAGCTAACTGAGATTTGTTATAGCACTTGTATATTATTGCTCTTTTGTTGATTTTGATTGCTTCCATTGTCCTCATTTGTAAGTCGCTTTGGATAAAAGCGTCTGCTAAATGACTAAATGTAAATGTAAATGTAAATGTAAATGTAGTGTCTTTAAAAAGATCAATACTTGCTGGTTTGTAAGGAGGATCAATAATGTGTGAGTGTATATACCTGCGTATACTTTGTGTTGTTTTTTGTATTGTCTGTGTAGTAGATGGTATAGTATTGGATGATGCCGTTGGGTTGGTTTGGAGGACTCCAGCTGAGACGTACTGTAGTGGTGGTGAGGAGTGTGTATGATACATTCTGTGGAGGGTCAGAGGGGGCTGCAAAACAGAGAAAGCATTTATCTTTATGACTATGATGGCAATGCTGTTTCATGATATTGTGGTTCTTTTTCAAAACTTAGTGAGCTGCCTGACTCTCTAGGCTAAATGAAACTAAACCTTATAACTGACTGAATTGAAACATCTTGAAAGAAGTTAAATGTTCTGTTATTTTCTAACGCTTCTATATGCTTTCAATCTTTCAAAATTTTGGGGTCGGTAAGATTTTGAAAGAAGTCTCTTATGCTCACCAAGGTTGCATTAATATGAGCAGTTGATCACAATTTCAGATAACTGTTTTTTATTTGAATATATTTTAAGATGTAATTTATTACTGTAATGTAATGTATGTATTTAAATCTGATATTTCAGTCATCTCCAAATGATTTCACAGTTTATTCTAGGATACTTGTGATGCTCAGGGCTCGAAATTAACTTTTTTACTTGGTAGCACTGGTGCTCCCAACTTCAAAATGTTAGGAGCACCAGCAAAAATATAGGAGCACTCACCAAAAATTTAGGAGCACCACAACTACAAATTATTGACAAAAAAATTAGATCTCGATATTTTCTGGGATTTTATCGATAACAATAATTTGACTGAGTGTTACTGTGCTGATATCTTAAGGACTACAGTGGACAGCTGACTCCTAAAATTTTTAATATTCATATTCTGTGTGGTGGTCAGTTCAAAGCAGTGACAGAAATTAATCTTTTCCAATAAGTTTAAATAGATTTTTACCTTTTATGGTCACCAAAATGGTCGCAATTTCGAGCCTTGGATGCTGCTATAATTTTTGGCCAAAATGAGGCATATGTGCCTTAACATTAGAAACATGCTTATGATGACAGAATGTGTTTGTGTTCACCTGATTCTATGGTACTGAACGTGATGTAAATCAACATTCCTCCATCTCCGAGTCGAGTCCAGCTGCTCACGGAGGCGTTATATTGACCCAATCCATCCACACTCACCACCACCGACGTTTCCGTCACATTGGCGACAAACTCAGAGCTCAGATTCCTAATACACGCACACAAATGTTAGTTTCAATCTTGTACGACAATAGCCAGGTCTTTGGTAAAAACTGATTTTAAATCATCTTTACTTACCACACTCTCAATATGTAGTATAAAATCTCAGAGTTGGCCTCCTCTGGAGGTTTCCAGGACAACTCTACCTCAGTATCAGACAATTTTCTGGCGATTAGGAATTTTGGAGGGGAACTGGGTACTGTCGTTTAGGAAAAACAGCTATTATAGACCCAAAACTGTGGAAAAGGACTTTACTCTTCAAACAAGACAGTGATTTGAGTTAGTAAATGTAAGAGAATGTCTCCCATGCCAGGAACGGCATCCACATTTGTCCATTCTGACAGCTGCTAATGGAAAAACTAACCAACCAAACACAGAGAAACAAACACAGACATTGTCGGTAGGTTCTGTCTCCTGAGGTAGAAAGATGAAACTTGGTTTAAAGGCAAAACTTATCCATAACACTGTAAAAAAAAAAAACTCCCAGATTGCTTTCAGAAATGTCCTGTGGGAGAAATAAAAATAGTTAAAAATAATAAAACACTTTCATTTCCTGCGCGCAGACCTTTGAAAATCTGTAAAAAGAAGAAATGTTTAAGTGTGACCTTAATACAGTACTTTCTGCATCTTTAGCCAGATCCTGATAAATTCACCATGAAGACTGAACCTAAAAAGTAAAAACAGCTTCATTAAACACCACAAGGTCCGTTTGTTAAAACCGAACACTCACCGTCCTCCAGTGTGGTGATGTTCAGGATCTCACTCGTGTGGTTTCCCAAGCCGACCAGTGTGGCGGCCTGTACGCTGATACGGTAGCGCGCATACTTTCGCAGGTTGGACAGGGTGATATAAGGCACGTGTGTGGTTTGGTTCAGACTGTGTGTGGCATTCCAGTATTCTACATTGTAGAACAAGATGATGCCATTTGCGAGAATCGGGGGTGACCATGACACATTCACCTCACTGGATCCGATGTTCTCATAGGTCAAATCGTAAGGTGGGCTGCCAGGCACTGCAACAAACAATTAAACTGCACATTAAGATGCTTAGTGCAAAAAATATATCAGCCTGCAAATTGCTAATATTCAATAAAAGAGTCCTCTCACGCATGTGATAAATAATATTAGAACATGAAGTGGGCTTTTTAATTAATTAATCTTTTTTTAAACAGAAGGTAGAGAGGGGGAATGAGATTAGAATCTGCATTTCCCACATAAGCAGCTCAATATGCTGAAATAATAAAAAGAAGGAAACATGAGTACCATAACTCAACATGCTGGAGCTCATGCACTAATCACTAGGCCACGCTCCCTTTTTGGCCTGTTCTATGGAGTTTTTTCAACATAATGAATAGTACAAAGAGGACAGGGGAGAAGAAGGGGAAATGACTAAGATTTAAACTTACTGTAAATCACCTGCATAAGCACCATGGCTCAATATGTCAGAGCAGGTGTGCTAGGAAGTGGGCTTTTATGAATGAAGGTGTATTCATACACTAACATTCAGAAGTTTGGGGTCGGTAAAACTTTTTACTGATTCTGAAAGAAGCTATGCTCACCAAGGCTGCATTTATTTGATCAAAAATATAGTAAAAACAGGAATAATGTGAAATATTATTCAAATTTAAAATAGCTATTTTCTATTGGAATCTATTTAACATTACATTTATTTCTGTGATGCAACGCTGAATTTTCATCAGCCATTTCTCCAGTCTTCAGTGCCACATGATCCTACAGAAATCATTCTAGTATGCTGATTTGGTGCTCAAGAATATTTCTCATTATTATCAATGTTGCTTAATATTTTTTTGCAAACTGTGATACTTTTTTAGAATTCTTTGATGAAAAGAATGTTCAAAAGAACAGCATTTATTTGAAATAGAAAGCTTTTGTAACATTCTAAAAGTCTTACTGTCACTTTTGATCAATTTAATGTGTTGTTGCTGATTAAAAGTATGTTTGCTGCAACAAAGTGTCTGAAAGTCATTCATCTTTATTAATGAGAGTTGGTGATTTACATTCCACTTCATGCAAATTGAAGTAGAGATGCGATGAGCGAATAGCTACTGGCGTAAAGACACTAGAGTTCACATAATTTTATGCTTGATAGAGTTGGAGTGGGAATGTCTACTAGAAATCAAACAGCACCAAGACTTTAATCGCTGTATGTGTGAATGTGCCTTAACTGTAGGAACCCTTTGAAAGGGAAAGAGTGTGGGATTTCAGGATGAGATTGGATTAAAGTTTTATACCTCTTCTAGTTTTTCAATTAAATATGAACACACACACACAATGGCTCACCATCCTCCCCCGACAGCATCTGTAGAGTATCAGAAATCTGGTTCCCATGTCCGTGTAGCGTAAACGCATGGACAGTCACATTGTAGTGTGTGTATGGCTTCAGGTAGCGCAGTGTGGCACTGGGCGATGTGCTGTTGACTGTGTTGCTGTATGTGCCGTTGGTGTAGGAGACCTCGTACAGGCGGATGATGCCGTTGGGTTTCTCTGGCGGAGACCAGGTGAGAGCAGCGGTGGAGGAGGTGGTTTTCACTACGGCCAGATCCCGTGGGGGTGAATCCGGCTCTAAAAGGCAGATGGAAGCATGCTAAGAGATTTCCAAAATGTTTAAGGGGCTTCTGTATGTATATGAAACATAACTGGCTCAATACCATCCTCTAGTGTCATAACGAAGATGTAGTCTTCATCGGTCAGTGGACTTTCCCCCACGGCGGTGGAAGCGGCCACACGTACCTTATAACTGCTGTACTTGTCCAGACCTGTGGATATGAGCATATATAAGTGTTATACGGTGGCCTCAAAAACTATTTGAACACCTGGGTCACACCTAGAAATGTCTAAACGTCATTGCATTAGATGTAAAATATCCAAGCAGGATGAATCTGCAAACAACTGCAAGGGTGTTTTCTTGGAAATTCACCATTTTTTATTATTTTTGCTCAATCTTGGTGATTTTTTAGTGGATGTGTTAAGTCGGTTATCTTCAAGGTGTCCTAGAAAGTGTGGCATCTGTTCAAACTGTTCAAAAGCTTGGGGTCGGAATGATTTTTTAATGTTTTTGAAAGAAGCTTTTTGTGCTTACAAAGGCTGCATTTATTTGATCAAACATGCAGTTAAAGCAATAGCATTGTGATATATTATTAAAATTTTAAATAACTATTTCTAATGTACTAGATTTTAAAATGTAGATTATTCCTAGGATGCAAAGCTGAATTTTCAGCATCATTACTCCAGTCTTCAGTGTCACATGATCCTTTATTATAGGGTGTTACCTGTGAGCACTTCAGTGGTGGTGTCCGCCATCTGTCGTAATTGCTGGTTTGTAAGGAGATTTTGTGCATATACAGTGTAGTGAGTTATCTTGCCGTTAGGGTTCAGTGGTGGCTCCCAAGTAACACGGATGGAGGTGGAGGTCAGGTTCTGATAGGACACATTCTGAACAGAGCTGGGCACTGTGGGGAAAGACTGGGGTTACTTTATACAGTGGTTGTATGTTATAACTACTGTACTTCAACTCAGAAGTCTGAATGTATTGTACCTTGTTCAGTTGTTTTCACTGTAACTTCTGTGGAAGGCCCTTCTCCAATGATGTTTTTTGCCGTCACGCTAAATGTATACTCGGTGAAAGGACTCAGTCTTCTAACCACATACATGATGTGATCAGACAACAGGTCTGCTGTCTCCTCAGTGGCAGGTAGGACTGTCAATCATAAAGCACAACCAATCAGAAAACAGAAAGCAATTTTCCCAATAATTTTCTCCATTGGGATTTTAAAAAATTCCTCAATAAAGAATTTTTGGAAGAACATGAACTAGCACAACAACATTACAAACTTTCCAAAAGTGATCAAATAAAAAAAAAAATGATGGTACAATATAAAACTATTTACTATAAGTCATGGACTACTGTAAGGACTAAGTATAGCATACTTATTTAAATAAATTAATACAATAATTCAGATTTATATAAAATACTTATATTTTATATAAAATGTAAATAAAAAATAAAACTATATAAATATAAAATATTTTATATAAAAATGTATTAAAACAAAATACAGGTCACAACTGCTCTTTTCACCAATTTCAACCAGTTTTCATGGTTACAGTGACTTCTCTGATTGGTGGATTATTTCTTTAGGATTATGGGTAGGGAAATAAGCAGGGGAAAAAAAACACACACAATTAAAAAAAAATGAAGTGTCTTGTCTATACTTCAGTCAGTGTTGTTATTAACAAATTTGTAACCATGAAAAAAAAATGTTGGTAATTGAAGCAAATTTGGAAAAATAAAATACATAAAACAAAAAAAAACAGCAGCTGAAAAAAATGGAAACTAAAATTAAACTAACATAAATTATGAGAGTGCATAACAAAATTACTATTTGAACTAAAATTAAAATGAAAACTGAAAATATGAAAATAAAAACTAATAAAAAGCTAATTCAAAATATTAATCCACACTATAATAGTTTATAAATAATTCTAAATGAACACAGAGTAAAGTAGGTCTGTCTTGACAGGTTTATTCATGTTGCTAAAAAATTAATTTTATCTATGGAGATTTTAAATAATATTTATACTTACGGATACCTAATATAAATGGCTTATTATGAGTTGTTATTTTGGTTGTGCTTTTAACAGTAATATTAGCATCCAAGTCACCACAACAGTTATTTACCCTCTATTCCAATAGTGGTGGCAGCTCTTGTTGAGGGGTTCGTCTGCTGCTGGGTGGAGTCTGTGGCCACCGCCCTAGTGGAGCGACGGGGCTGGGAGGGGCTTAAGTTAACCAATGGTGGTTGGTCAGTTCCTTGAGTGACAGCTGAAAGTTCAGTCAAAGGTTCCTCAGTCACAGCCTCAGTCTCAGCTTCAACAGATACATCAGTTCTGTCGTGGGTCACTGTGAGCCAGGGTGGAGGTGTGTGGGGGGTGCTCGGGGTCAGAGGAAGGTCAGAGGTCAGTTCCGTATCAGTGCTGGTAAAATCACGACCCAAAGCGGGAAACGCTCCGTGTGAGGTGAGAATGAATGCAGATGACGTAGTGATGTCAAGTGACCTCGCATTACGACGAAGTGGAGCATTCTGTAAACACAACGACATATCAGTAAAGCTAAACTAAACACAATACAGTGATTGTGTGTGTGTGTCTGTGGAGTTTAGTGTGTTTTACCTGTCCTCGCAGGGTGATGTCCTGTACAAGAGTACTGCGGTATAACACTAGTATCCGATAGTGTGTGATTAGTCCGTTCGGTCGGCTCGGGGGTCTCCAGGACAGACGGACAGACGTGGAATCCACAGCCTCTGCTGTCAGATGAGACACAGCACTTGGGGCTAACGGGGAAATAAATGCACACACACATACAGTTAACAATAAACTTAACCAGGGGCCTTAGCACAGTTCCAAGAGGCCCGCAAGATGACTTTAAACTAGATAAAAAAGTTCGTCAAGACAAACTTTAGGTTGGCTTGAGAAAGCCTAGCCTGAAAGTTTAAAGCAGTTGTAAAAGCCTGAAGTTTGAAAATTTTGATAGATTATATAGATGTTGATAACATGTTTTTAACATGATTGGCCTGTTACTAGCATATTGTTGGCATGATTAACAAGTAACTAGCATGTTCTTAGCATGATTAGCAAGTGACTAGCATGTTATTAGCATGTCTAGCAAGTGACTAGCATGTTTCTAGCATGATTAGCAAGTGACTAGCATGTTTCTAGCATGATTAGCAAGTGACTAGCATGTTTCTAGCATGATTAGCATGTTACTAGCATGTTGTTAGAGTGATTAACAAATGACTAGCGTGTTGTTAACAGGATTAGCAAATTACTAGCATGATTAGCATGTTACTAGCATGTTGTTAGCATTATAAGCAAGTTACTAACGTGTAGCTATCATGTTTATAGCATGATTAGCATGTTACTAGCATGATTAGCAAGTTACTAGCATGTTGCTAGCACGTTTCTAGCATGATTAGTATGTTACTAGCAAGTTATTAGCATGATTAGAAACTTACTAGCATGTTGCTAGCACGTTTCTAGCATGATTAGCATGTTGTTAACATGTTTAACTAGTTATTTGCATGTTGCTAACATGTTTCTAACATGATTAGCATGTTGTTAGCATGTTTAACTAGTTACTAGAATAGATATATACATGTAGATGCCTCATTAGCGACTGTTTTTATGGGCCGCTATACGTAAGCCATCCGCCATATTGTAACAGTCAACTTGACGTCATTCACCATAGTAATCACTGAATATTCAAAAGATGCCACAATCCTGCACAGAACGGCTCAACGGCTCTGTGAGAACCTACAGAATGGTGAATGACGTCAAGTTGACCGTTCCAAGATGGCGGCCGCATCTACGTGCCTGCCTGGTGCCGTCGAATGGGGCATCTATACATATCTATGGTTACTAGTATGTTACTAGCACGATTCTAGCATGATTAGCAAGTTACTAGCATGTTGCTAGCATGATTAGCATGTTACTAGCATGTTGCTAGAATGATTCTAGCATGACTAGCACGATTCTAGCATGATTAACATTACTAGCATGTTGCTGGCATGATTATCAAGCTACTTACATGTCACTAACATGTTTCTAGCGTGATTAGCATTTCACTAGCATGTTGCTAGCATGCTTAGCATGTTGCTAGCATGATTAACCTTTTGCTAGCATGTGTCTAGCATGATTAGCATGTTGCTATCATGTTGCTAACAGATAGATAGATAGATAGATATATAGATAGATGAAAGATAGATAGATAGATAGATAGATAGATGATAAGAAATATTAGATAGATAAGTTTGAATGAGTTTAAATGGCTTAGAAATAGTACATAGAATGGAAGTCTTTTTCACATTTCTGGGTTTCTCAGCAGCGGAAGTCGTCATAGTTGGGTTAACTTGAATAGCAGTGAATGGGAGAGTACCACAAATATATTTTTTGCATTCCCATTTGCTCAAATAGCAAAAGAAAAACTCCACGATAGTGTTTTCATGAATTTCAATCAAAGGAAAAAAATTGAGAGAGACTGTTAATGGTTGTCAGAAGAGGGAACGATGTCAAATTATCTAATGCAGCTTCCCCCTCGCATTAGCGTTAACTGATTTTTTGTAATTTGATGCAAAGGTGATATAATACAAAGAAATATGAAAAACTTTCGAGGATTTACGATGCTGATGACCGTTAAACGCGTCATCACAGTCTTGTGAAAAGGGTCCATTGAGTATAATGGGCTTCAGTGTGTTTAGATTTAAGTTGGAGTTTGAATAGTCTTGGCTCATTTGAAAATTCCGTCAATGTAAGTCTATGAGATTGTTATGATTTTTAATCTTAATTTTTATGAAAACTGTAAGTCGTATCAGTTAGAAAAGATATAGCACACTAAGTGAGATCAGTCTGAAGAGCAGGGCTGAGTTTGGAGTTTGTAGAGTTAAAGCTCTAGGAGAAATCAGAGTCAGACATTTTAGTATTTCAGTAAGTTGGCTTTCTCAAGCCAACTTAATTACTTAAAAAAAGAATGTGCTTTAAAATAAAATTTCACAGTCTTGTGAAAAGGGTCCATTGAGTATAATGGGCTTCAGTGTGTTTAGATTTAAGTTGGAGTTTGAATAGTCTTGGCTCATCTGAACATTCCGTCAATGTAAGTCTATGAGATTTTTATGATTTTTAATCTTAATTTTTATGAAAACTGTAAGTCGTATCAGTTAGAAAAGATATAGCACACTAAGTGAGATCAGTCTGAAGAGCAGGGCTGAGTTTGGAGTTTGTAGAGTTAAAGCTCTAGGAGAAATCAGAGTCAGACATTTTAGTATTTCAGTAAGTTGGCTTTCTCAAGCCAACTTAATTACTTAAAAAAAGAATGTGCTTTAAAATAAAATTAAGCGCAAAAAATTATTAAAGAGTGCTTTAAATCACAAACGACTAGAAAAGTCATGCAAATGTATTCATAATAAAAATAAATATAAATGTCTTTATTGTCACTTTTGATCACTTTAGTGTATCCTAGCTAAATCAAAGTATTAATATTTTATATATATATTAATAATTAATATCAAAAATATTTTGAATGGTAGTGTATATACATGTAAAGTCTGGGTTGGATTATTAATGTCCATGGGAACAGCTGATATATTTTCCCATGTCTACAATCCAATGCTGAGAAAAATGCAGCCTTTTATTTATCATAGCATTGGATGCTTTGAGGCCTTGAACCAAAATCAAATTTTAGATAAAAGCAACCCTAAGTGAACAAATAACCTTTAAAGTCTTGTTTTTCCACACATTTAATAAGCATTTTCTTATTCAACGCCAACAGGCTGTGTATGAAAAATTATTTTCCTCCAGCTAAATTAACCCAGTTAAAGGTATAATTAGAGATAGCTGATTTCGCAGACAGACTTAATTACACCCAGAACAGCTAAATATAAACCTCATTTATAACTCTCACTTATTTTGACCCCTGAGTCTGAACACTTACAGAAGTCGCAAACACTTACACATTCACATTGTTCACATTCTCCAAACAGATGAATCAAAAATTGAATTGTTTTGTATGACGTGGCTCCCAATATGTCACTATCAAGCATACACAAGCAGACACAGTTTAAGAAAACACGACACCAACGATCAATCATGGTGGAGGTCAAGTGATGTCTGAAGGAACCATTAATTCTCCACTGTAGCAGAATATACATTTGTGGCAATTCATCCATGAACCACAACTAAAGTGTAGCTGGGTCATGGAGAAAGAAAAAAAGCAATTGCACATCAGCAGTATCTAAAGTGATTCAGTGCTTCTTTATGTTCCAGTCAGCACAGCTAAATGTGGTTTAGCTGGTTATTGTGTATGAGGCAATAATATTTTCATACAGGGAATGTGGATTTTGTTTAACTTAATTATTATTTGACAGCCTTAATTGAATAAAATCAGCTGAAGTATATGCTATACTGACTCAGGTTCACTTTATCTAACATGATGTCATGTCTAAAGGTTTGAAATATCAACTGAAAAATTAAACTCAATGAAAGACACAATCAGGGTGCAAATAACATTTCACAGGTTGTTTCTTTACTATCTATAGTAAAGAAACAAATTTTGTCCTTAGAAGTTGGCTAAATCTTATAAAAAAAGGGGACATTCTCAGTAAAATAAATAAATAAAAAAAATATATATATTTTTTACTTAGAAATGCTAAATGTTAAGATAAAAATGGGGACATTATCAGTAAAAAAAAAAAATAAAAATTTTAAATGTAAAAATGCAAAAATGTTCTCTTTTATGAGGTTAAGATTTGGGTAGGGGTAAGAAAGACGTCACGGTAAGCCTTCATTAGCTAGTAAATTTGTGTGCGTATATGTATTTTACCTTCTGCTAGTGTTGTAATGTTGATCACTGCTGCCGGTCCTGTGGCCCCTGCTGATTTGGCCATCACGTGGATGTAGTATTGTGTGTATGGAGTCAGTCCAGTGTACATAAACGCCTGTTCGATTGTGCTGTTCTCACTAATAAACCCTGAAATACACACATACATGTACCGCATTAGTAAACAACTATTAAAGGATGTGCTTTGCATTAAGTAGTCTAGAGCATGTCAGGAGCATGTGTGCTAAACGCAAGGCCACACAACAGTAAAAACAGTAATATTGTGAAATATTATTACAATTTAATAAAGTGTAATTTATTCATGTGATCAAAGCTGAATTTTCAGCATCATTACTTCAGTTTTTAGTGTCACATGATCCTTCAGAAATTCTAATACGATGATTTGCTGCTCAAGAAGCATTTCTTATTATCACTGTTGAAAATAGTTGCTTAATATTTTTGTGACAAATACCACAATTCATTGTGACGAGTTCAGAGAATATTTTAATGAGGATTACATCAAAATTGAGGGAAATGTCAATTATAAAATATATTTCATTTTTTACTAAAAATGTTCCATTTAATTCAAATGTACAATTTCACCCAAAACTGGTGTGTTTTGTGTATTTCTGTGGTTATTAGCGTATCAAAATGTGCTTCACAGGAAGAGTGCTATTCATGTTTTACACATGAGTGAGTGACCATTAACAAAGTTACTCAAGATGCTGCCTTTGAAGACAGCAAAGAGGCTCACTAGGACTTCGCAAAAAGCTTATGTTAAATATATAGATACTGCTTACGGGCCTCTGCAGTTTTGTAGTACAGAGACTGGCTAAAAGGTCCAATTCCTGCTTTGTTTACTGCTGCAACCTGTAGAGAAAAAAACAGAAGAAAAGCTTTTAAAAAGCAATATACTGTAGCCAAACGCACGTAGCATAAGAGCGTCTGCTTGATTTATCACCATGACTTAGCAGAGGTGGTTATATAAACACTGTGAATGAAGATTCCAATGCAAGATGATCTACTCCAGACAACAGATCCATCAAATACTGTCACATGTACAAACACATGCTCACACAAAAGCTCAGAGAGTCAATTCAGAGTTCACGGTGTACCCAGCCAATGAATTCACGAGACAAATGAGGGAAAACAGAGATCCGTCGTGGATCCAGAGTTCTCTGTAGGAGATGAATAATTCACAGCTGATAAATTATTGAGTGGGATCAATGGAATAGAGGCCACTGGCAACTTTCCCGTGGACAGTTAATCCAGTAGTGTCTGCTGAACGCTGGACCTTCCCTACAGAGTTAAAAAGCATTTTCAGAAAAGTTTTTACTGGCTGCTGTTTCATTAGAGGTGACACAACAATACACCACAATGACCACCGCAAAACACTTAAAAGGGAAATAAAGGAGAATCTAACATCTCAGATACACATGGGCTGGATATAATATCAGTAACATATATAAATGCGTTAATTTCCATTCACTTAATAAGGAGCAGGTCATGTTTTTGCCTTTAGAAGAGCTTCGGTTCTTTGGGGAATAATGTAGTTCAGCTCTTGAACTGTGTGATATTGCACCATTCCTCAATAAGAAGCCTGGAGTTCTTTTAGAGTTGGAAAGAAATCGGAAATCTCTAGAATTTCTCACTGGGAGTCTTTAAGAAGCGCATTTCTCATGATGTCACATCTGAATTTGTTAATCGTGTGTACTAGGACACATCTGCCCTGTAATATGAGCATATTATGAGAAAACCCATGTTCACTCAGTCTGGGTTTTGTGCTCTTCATAGCAGGTTACAAGTATTCAATGAGGCAGACCTGCCATGATTAAAAGCACTTTTTGAGGATGCTTTTTTGTGGCATTTTTAAACTATCCACTGAAGTATCTTTTCACTTCAAGTGCTTCAACCTCAAGTGTTTTTCTCCTTGAGCAAAATTATCCTTATTACAACCATGCTCGCTGGCATTATTATTTTATTAATTTATAGCTTTTGTGCATTTGTAGTTCTGTTGTTTTAAATATACACTACCATTCAAAAACTTGGGGTCAGTTAATTAATTAATTAATTTTTTTTTTGCAAGAAATATATACTTTTATTCAGCAAGGATGCATTATATCGATCAGAAGTGACAGTAAAGACCTTTATAATGTTACAAAGGATTTATATTACAAAAATGCTTTTTTTTTTAACTTCCTATTCATCAAAGAATCCTGAAAAAAATACAGTTTCCACAAAAATATTAGGCCGCACAACTGTTGATAATAAGAAATGTTTCTTGAGCAGTAAATCAGCCTATTAGAATGATTTCTGAAAGATCATGTGACACTGAAGACTGAAAATTCAGCTTTGCCATCACAAGAATAAATTACATATTCAAATATATTCAAATAGAAAACAATTCTTTGAAATTGTTATCGTATTTCACAATATTACTGTTTTTACTGTACTTTTGATCAAATAAATGCAGACTTGCTGAGCATAAGAGACTTATTTCAAAAACATTACAAAAATCTTAATTCCAATTTTTTAAACGGTAGTTCATAATAGTTCCAATGTAATATGATGCAGCTTTGCGAAAGTTATTATACTTTAGTTCCTTTTCACGTTTTCCTAAAAACATTTCCATAAAAACATATTGTAGTCAAATGTGTTATGCACACCCTCTAGGAAGCTTGATATTCTGTTCCTATGATCTATGTTGTCTATGTCTATGCTGTGGGCACAGATTTGTGTACATAAAAAATTATGAATTTTTTGAGCTTTTCTCTCATTTTTGCTATCAAATAAACAACTGAAATGTGTGAAGCCTCAAGCGTGCACCTTGATGTTGTATGTAGCTCCAGGGGTGAGTGTGTTCAGCAGGGTTTCTGGGATATCCAGGCTCTTGGTGACCTCAGTGAAGGTAGGGTCGGGATATGGACACATTTCCTTGTATCTGATGACAAATGAGTGAATTGAGGGGTCGAGAGGCACTGGCATCCGCCAGGACAGCAGGATCCCATTGGAACCGACCCGCTCACCTTCTGGCTTAGAGGGGGCCGCAGGTACTGCATACACATAGATAAAACACAAATAATGAATTAATTTAAGCATTTTTTTAATGCATTCAGTATGTTATCCTACTTGACTATGTCAGCTTTATTGAATACTTGAATCTAATTGGTTAATTACAGCAATTATTTTCTGTAGTTTTTACACACAATTCATTTTAATTAATTGTCACTTCTTGCATTTATTATATTGCCATTCTTCTGCAATGAAGCAGAACGGATATTGTTGCTCTGACCTAGATTTAGTATCATCCAGGTCATTATCAAATTTAGAGGTCTTTCAGAAGGCATTTGGCTCGCTAACAGCTCTCCGTTGTTGTGGAGGTGTTAGCCATTTAGGAGAAGAACAATATAAAGCCACCAGAAAGCGTGACCCGACCATGCCATTCTCAGAGAGACGGGCAAACAGCACCCTGGGAATCTGATACCGACCTATCAAAGCCTGCTAACTGGAATCAGCATCAATTATGCAAACATAAATATACACACACACATTTCAAATGGAACAAAATGCATTTGGAGTCATGTACAACATCTCAAAGGGTTTCGTCTTTCAATTTTCGTCACTGGTTCTACGCTTACAAAACAATACAGTAGTACAGAGATGATATCAGATGGTGCTTTTATGTATAACATTACTGCATGATTGTTGTATTCATGTACCATGGTATTTGCATGGTACTGCAAAGAAAACTATTATAGCATAACATTTTCTAGAACTTTTAATATCCATGGAATCTTTCGATTGCTCTTTATAGTGGAAAAAACATTCTTTAGATTATTCAAATGTTCTCCACACTAAGAAAAAATGGTTCTTTTTAGAACTGCTCACTGAAAGGTGATTTGGGGACCATAATGGTTCTTCTATGGCAACACTGTGAAAACCCCCTTTTGGAGCCTTTATTTTAAAGAGTGTTGTATGTCTATGAAAATAATTTAACACTTTTTACTTGACAAGCAAAAACAGCTAAAAATCTCAGGAGGAAGTCTAGAGGAATATATATAAGGGAATAGTGGTTTAAGAACGGAACACACAGACTTACAGGATTCATTAGTGGTGACGAGTATTCGGCTGACAGGTGAGCTGAACCCTGACGAGGCCACCGCATTGACCGTCACAGTGTATGATGTTCCAGGGGTTACACTGGACACTTGAGCCTAACACATAGAATATACACAATACATATACAAGTTACACATCTACAACCAACATAACATGGTGACAGATACGAACATTTTTAAAAGGCATAATTCCATACATTTTTCTATAGCAACTTTATATGTGACCCTGGACCACAAAACCAGTCATAAAGGTCAATTTTTTGAAATTGAGATTTATACATCATATGAAAGCTGAATAAATAAGCATTTCATTGATGTATGGTTTGTTAGGATAGGCCAATATTTGGCCGAGATACAACTATCTGAAAATCTGGAATCTGAGGGTGCAAAAAAATCTAAATATTGAGAAAATCGCCTTTAAAGTTGTCCAAATGAAGTTCTTAGCAATGCATATTACTAATCAAAAATTAAGTTTTGATATATTTATGGTAGGAAATTTACAAAATATCTTCATGGAACATGATCTTTACTTCATATCCTAATGATTTTTGGCATAAAAGAAAAATCTATAATTTTGACCCATACAATGTATTTTTGGCTATTGCTAAAAATATACCCAAGCGACTTAAGACTGGTTTTGTGGTCCAGGGTCACATATATTAGATCATAGGAAATGGCACTGTATTGGTTTGCACTTTATTTTTTTGTTAAATATTTAAATCTGTCACATTTTGAGGTGATAATGACAACATCTTAGAAGATTCATTGGTGTTATTGCTTCATTTGCTAATCACAAGTCTGATTAGCAATAATGTACAAATGTTAATAAATATTTACAATAAACTTTTATGATAGGATATATTAAATCTATAAAAAATGAATAGGTGGCTTCTCAAACATTGATTACAATATTCAATTTTAACTCTAAAAGCAATTCTAAACGGCACACAACTCTGCTAATCTTAAGTATTTCATTTGGTATTTGTATTTA